ATAAACTATTTCCTTAAAAACAATGGAAGCATCATAACTGATGAATATTGAGAAAAATGTTGAAATTGACAAAGAAAGTATAATAGAATCTATTGGAAAGAGTTCTAATGAACTTTCAAAATTGTTGTAGTATTGAATAGTAATTAATTTAAGTTTTTTAATTATTTACATTTCAATGTTTAATATCATATTACCTATGTATGTATTGTTTCATATTTGTTAAAGTCAAACAAATTGTTATAAATAATAATTTTATAGTATAGGTATACTTTATAGGTATACTTATACCTATAGCAATATTATACAATATCTGTTTTTTTCATTTCATTTAATTGTTACCTGATTTTACCTAATTGTAACCTTCTTTAAATACAAAAATGGAAAAGTCGAGAGCGGAGCAAACAGTTTTTAATCTAACCTTAGTTTGGGCACTTTAATGAGATCGCAGACTGGGCCTTTTGTCGGCAGTCCGATCCTATATACGAAAAATTCTGAAAAGAGGAGACTGTTTGTCAGTCTAAGATATTTTATAATGTTCTTACTAATAATTAATATGGTACCCGGAAGGTTGAATTAATATTTTTCTTAAATTATCAGTGATGATGCAAGAAAAATATTAAATATACCTATGTAAAATTGGACTGTTTTGGGTACTGAATTAGGTACAACAAAATAATAAACGTTATGCTTTGTGTTAATATGCAATTTTGTACAAATTTGAACTTAAAATATCTGAAAAAAATAATTGTATTCATACATTTTTTAGATTTCTTAGTTATGGAAAAAACTGCTTAAGTGGAACCTTGTTTAAAATTTCCAATCTCTTATAAAAATTTAAAATGTCATACATTTTTAACTACAAAATCATTTTAAATTTTCATTTTGATAAATATTGTCAAATTTTGAACTTTAAATACTTATAAAAAAAAATTTTGCCTATGTATTTTTAATATTTTTCAACTGCTATCGTAACAAGTTATCAAGAGTCTTGTATTAAATTTGCATGCTTTTTGACAAAACCAATAAAATGTTATTGACATTTATGGAAAAAAATGAAGTTCCCGTCAACAGCTTAAAACGATTCAAAATATTTTGAAAATTATATCAAGTATATGAATTGATGAAATAAACATTTGGTTTTAATTTCAAGTGTCTACAATAATTTGTTTTTGAATAACAACGAAATAAGAAAACTGCACAAAAAAAAAAATAATAAACAAGTATAAAAACAACAAATCATTGTAAAATCAATACATTCATCGCTCCGCTCAGAATCTAAAAAAATATAATTAAAATTGAAAAATGTCTATACATTTCCTAAAAGAATTTAAATATTTTGAAAAAATGATCATGTAGGAATAGAAAATAATAACATTCGTTTTTAAATTACTCTAAAATAACAAAAAATTTCGGTGAGATATCGTTAATTTAAGGGTGAAAATCAATCAAAATCAAATAAATTTTAACTCCAAAATATTATGCTCATAAAACAGTAATGTGAAAGTAATCTTTTATTTTTGTTTAAGGTAAAAAAACTTTTGAAGAATTTTGTATTGAGTTTCTATTCATATAAATCATTTTACATAATTTAACTTTGAAAATTAGTTTTTTATATAAATTGACAACCAGACATTTCTTCATTGCCAGCCGTCGTCAAACGATCACGTTCTTCGTCCACTTGTTTCAATTGTTGCTCCAGATGGTAAATATCGGTCAACAGCACTGCCGCAACCATAATTTGGGGAGGAGGCAGCAGTGTACTACTGGAATCATCGGAGTCTCCCATTTGCACCGCTGTGGGCGCCTCCTCTTCCCCTTGCACAGCTGCCAAAGTTAGGGCCACGCGGGGCAAAAGTTTTGCGTAACGCGTCTCTATGGACTTTCGGCTGCGAGCTGGCACTCGGTCAAGGACCAAGGACTTGATTGATCTCAGTATGGACACTCGCATCTTTCTCAGAGCATGCCCCCCTTTTTTGAGAGCTTTCTTCGTTGACGATTGACCGAGGTCACGGGGGCCGTCCGTTTCCGGTCCCGACGATGACATACCGTAGCACGGCTGTTTAGAAACGTCGGCAAAAACACGATTAGTGTAACTCTGTACAAAATAGCCGTTGTCACGTTGTGGTCGTTGTTTATCGACAACGTCGTCCGAGATACCAACTCATTTCAAGAATGCCAGGCAGTCACCAGTCACCCTCTCCATACCTAGTACCTAGTTTTTTAAAAGCGATCTTATTTTTTTGTAATTTTATCGTATCTGAATACATCAAAATTAGTCTTGTTCTTATTATGTAAAACAAGGATGATTAATTCATACATACTAATAAATAGGCATAAGTAGTTAGTAGGTAATTACTTAAATAAATACAAATTAAGTAATTTACCTATGTTACACGACTAGGTACATTTTAATACCTTAATATTACATTTTATTGTTACAATCATTCTTATCCACTACGGTCTGAACCTATTAAAGAGAACTGGAGACTGAGGAGAACGTCTTACAGTTGCTGCTTCATAATATCAACCTCCACATACTAACTCCAATCCGATATACTCCGGATAATAACAGAAAAATAATACGTACATTTTAATAAATTGCTACTATAGGTAGGCTATGGATACGCCATGTAAAATGTGGCGAAAGCCCCGAAAGCCAATTCATTACAACAATGTACTATCCTACAATTTATACAGAATGTACAGTAGCTCCAAGAACTCGACAACCTATACTACCAGGGCCTGATTAACCAATAGACTGAGTAGGCTACAGCCTAGGCGCCAATCGGCCAATGTTAAATTGGGGGCGCCACAAAATAATGATTGTAGTAATTAATGCTACAATACTCCCTACCAGTTTTAAACACACTCACATGCAACATAAATAACAGTACTCAACACTTCCATGCCAGTTCAACAGACAACAATCAATCAGTAAGTAGTTTTTTATTTTTATAATCTAAATAATTTCCTATCTTTAAATTTGTTTGACTTTGTTATGTTTTTATTTTCTTAATCAACAGACTTGACTATTTATTAGTTTTGTTTAAAATGTATTAATATTTAAATTTTTATGAATTATTTTCGTGTTTGGTATATTGTTTTGAGTTTGATCTAATAGGTGTTAATCAAAAAATAATATTTTTTGATTAACGTTTATCGTTATCATTGCATCAAGCTTTAACAATCTTATTTACCTATTTGTTAAATATCTAAAGTAAATAGTTTTAATATATTAAAACGAATATGACCATTTAGAACATTCTTTAATAAGAATATTGACATTAAAAAATATATAGAAAAACTTGTTTATGGTAATGTTTCAAGTTTAATTTATATATATATTTTTTTTTAATAATAGAAAGAAGTAGAACAATATGTATTAAATAAATATGTACAATTAAACCTGACAATTAGAAAGAAACCAATAAAGATGATAACTAAATTCTAAAATATACTAAATACAATATCAGAAAATTATGTTATACAGGTATACCTCATATAATAATAAAATTAAAGTTTTTACATGAATGAAATTTAAAAAAAATACTCATTAAACTATAATTGAAGAAAATTATGAAATAGTGGATATCATTATATTTGTTATTAATCATCTGTATGTAATACACTAGTAACATTACTAAATCTTGAAAAATCGAATTCAATGTCTTGGAAACTAGTTTTATTTAACATTTTATCAACAAGGATATTCAATTTTTAGTTTTTTTGCTGTAAAATATTAAATTTGTTTGTTTAGTAGTGCAATAGTTCATAAACCTTTTTTATTTGTTTAGATTATGTTAAATTTTATTTTAGTCTGTTTCAATATTATTCAAATTTGTTACTCCTTTTAAATAGGTATATTCCATAAGGACAAAAAATTATTTGTCATTCATCATAGGATTCTCTGGTCCAGCGCAATTATTTTAAACTTTTATAAACATAATTTATATAAGTAAATAATATGCAGTGTTACAGAAATATCTGACAAATGAAATAACTTTTATTCTAAATATTATTTTAAAGTTTTTTTTTTTTATTTCATTTACAGAAGTATTTAAGTCATTTCAAATATTTCACATTTTAAAACAAAAAATAAACTAATTGACACAGAAATGTTTTTACAATCAGGTTTTTAAAAACCAGATAAACAAATTGGTTTTTCAAGCTTTTAATTACCAATATAAAAAAAAATGTAATCAAAAATGTTACATTATAATATGTGTGGCACCTTTGTCAATAAGTTATTTTTAAAATATAAATTTGAACAAGTTATTACATTTTCAGGTCGTCCTATATATTAATTTATTTAATAAGGTGATAAAAGATTTAAAATATATTATATTAGATTAGAATTATTTTGCCAATATTTGTTGCATATTTCTATAATTTCCTTTGAAAACATATGAGTAAATCTATTGGATAAAACTAATTTATACTTGTGCATTGAACATTTTGTGTTTATGTGAATGCATATTAAAATTTATGTATTTAATACATCTTTATCTATTTTATTGTTTCAGAAATAAATGGTACCTGATCAATAATTTTCAAGAGAATCATTAAAATGATGGATACTCATGATAAAATTAGATTTTTTTAGAAAAATATAATGTACACACATATGTCTACAACCATTCAGTTGGTTTGTACAACTGTTAGTTGTAGATCAGCTAATACCCAGTTTATGATTGGAAAGAGTACTTGAAAATATTGTTGCGTTTTCCAAATAGGTCATAATAATTCCAAACACATTATTAAAGTAAAAAACTTTTAGTCATAATAAAATATAAATATAATTGTATTTATAAAAACTATAAAATTACATTAAATAATAGTTAACTTATAAAATCAAGTATATATTTTTTTTTAAATGGACGGACCGATAATTAGTCTTAAAATAAAAGTGAACAAAATATAGGCATGTGACAATAACAAAGCAATAATATTGGTGTTAACACATTAATAATTTGTTCTTGGATGGAATAATTATTTATAAATCTAGATATGTAATATGTATGCAGCAATCAAGTATAAAATAAAGGCAGTTGTGATGCTTTTATACCCCTGGCGTAGTCTTGGATAAGTCAAAGGGGAGGAGGTTGTAAACAAATGTTATACTATGGACATTGTAGGTAAAGGTTTTTAATTCCTTTGGCTACACTATTATATCCATGAATTGTTCTTGGACGGAAGGCTAATTTAAAAATAAAGGTGAACAAAGAATAGGTATATAGCAATCAAGAATGAAACATTCACACTAGCAGTTTTGATGCTGGAGCTTCTTAAGTGTGATGATGGTTGGCCACAGGCTGGCGGGCATACTGGAATTATTGTTTCTGTAAAGTGAACAAATAATAAAAGTTAAATTGCGTTAAAACTATACACTATTCATGTTTTAAAAAGAAACATTGGTGGCGACCAGTTTTCATCGACGGTGGTCAGGCAACACTCGTTTGTCACCTGCCGTGTAGTTAAGCCATACACATTACACAAGCCTGCACACAAATGGACCCCCGAGGTTCCTTCTTAATGTAAATGGAGTATAGAATTTAGAAGAAAACTTAATTATTTTATAATAAATATTACAACATACTAGATTTGTATACTGCAATTAGAAATTGTTTCTATTAAATACTTTAATGTATATGTAAAATAATATTAGTAAAACCAATAAGAGGACGCCATGCATGTATTGACTCTGGTCTGACACACGTACAACATATTAAATTGAACATATGCATGCAATAATACATTTTACACTGTTGTTTTTAAAATTAGAGTGAATTAACTATTTTAAAATTTAAAGGTACAGTTATTATTTGGGCATCACAGAAACTTTTATTGATATTTGAATTTTAAGCAAGTTATAAATGTTTTAAAATTCACAAAAAAATTTTTTTTTTAAATAACCATAACTTGTTGCGTATGTAATTAAAATACCGATATACATTATAGATGGCCCTGGATGATCATCTTACCTTTAAATGTTATAAAAGGTCAATTCATCCTAATTTAAAAATAACACGAGTAAAATGTTGTACATTTACAATATAGAGACAATTGGGGGGGGGGGGGCAACAAGAAGAAATACATTTTTTCAAAATCGATATATTCCGTCAATTAAGACAAGGCAATTTGTTTATGCTAATGCATTATTTAATTTATACCAAATATTTTTTTCAACACAATTCAAGTTAAGCAAGTTGAAAACTGTATTATGAATATTATGTTAATGGAACTAATATTTACCATAAAGATTAACTGTTACTTCAGCAGTTCCCAATACATTTGATGCTTTGCAAATATAATCACCATATTGACGTTTTTCAATTGTGATAATACGTATTGTAGTGTCAGTAAATTCATCTGCAGTAGCAAAATGGGAGATTCTAAATGAAAAAGAAAACTACATTAAATATTTTCATCACAATTTAAACATTTTCAAAAACTCAACAACTAAGTATACCTATAATGTTGATTGTTGGATAGTTGTATTCCATTATTTATCCAAATAATGGCTGGTGGAGGATAAGCCTCAACATGACATTCGAGATCCATGTCATACTGTAGAGCTTGTCCCAAACGAGGTTTAGGAACAGTTATAACTGGTGCAAATTCTACCTCTATGGCAATATTACGCCTGGCACCTTTTCCAACACCATTTTCAGCTACACAATAATAAGTTCCGCGATCTTCTTTAGTTATAGCCGGAATTTTCAAAATATTACCTCTAGAAGATTAAATGTATGCTTAATTTACATGAATATTCAATTTTTTTATAGATATACTTATTTTGTTACTGTTAGTACCTATAAATTGATCCCCCTGTGGGTAAAATAGCATTATTTTCACGTCTCCAGGAAACTCTAGGACTAGGAAATCCACCAGCATAACATTCAAGTTTTACTGGTTGACCCTCATTTACAACCAATGATCTAGTTGAGTTGTCAGAAATAATAGGAGGTCTGCGCACTTCTAATTCTACATCAGCAGATATTTTGTTGTTCAACCCAAGCAACACTTGACAGCGATAGTAACCAGCATCTGTTTCTTGAATATCCTTAATCTGAAAATTTAAATTTTTTGAAAATAAAATAAAAAGCAGATGCATAATGCTTAGATTATTGACTAACAAGAAGATATAAGACAAGTATAGTACATTCAATTTATGGTAAAAATGTATTTAAATAAATATTTAAATACCTGTAGAGTGTAACTAGTGCTGTCAATGTCTTGTCTTAATGAAAATCTTGAATCTTTTATAATAAGTGTACTTCCAGATGAAAGCATAACAGGTTCAGTTATTTTTTCTTTATCAACCTTAACCCATAAAACAGGGAAATCCATAGCATATAAAACTGAACATGTCATCTCCGCTGTGCCACCAATATCTTTTATAGGTTTTTGTGTTATATGAGATATTGTGGGTGTCCTCTGAGAAAATGCTAAAATTAAAATTAAATATTAATAATTTTACTGTGTTACATCATAATGTTATTTATAATATAAGTAATAAGTATAAACTAAAAATATGATGAATTAATGGATTCATGGATTAAGCCAGAAAAATTCATAACTATTATAATATAGATAAATATAATAGTGATCTATAGTGATCGAGTCACATGACCACCATACCAGAACCCTTTTTCTGACTCTTCATATTCTTTATATAGTAAAATTTAACCTAATTACAAATTGATTGTCATTGGTTAATTCATACTCATTAACTTAGGGTAAAATTATATTGTTTATTATTATTTAAAACAGAAATATTTTTATTGCTATTAATTAATTTAATGTATACCCACATATCTTACATTTTTAATGCAAAAACTGTTACACTTAAATAATTCTAAGTTTATCATAATTTATAATTATATCAAGTTTAAAAACATATAAAATGAAAAACCTCTATAAATCTTTAGAATTCAAGTCTTAATTTTAACACGTTTCTATAAATAATAAATAATAAAAAATAAAAATAATTAAAGTTAAGGTTTTCCTAAAATATTTATAAAATAAACCACTATCTATTAAAACTACTACTTAACTTTAAAGAGTAAGTTATAACAACATATTAATATTTTAAAGTTTATTATTCTATTAGTCAATAGTCAGTAAAGCAAAAAAAAATGTTTAGAAGTTATTCTAGGTGAGGGGAAGAAAAAATAAAGACAATAACCAACAATATATTATGTAGGTAATTCATAATAATCTATTATTTAACTAAACATAATAAAATACATACTCATTCAAATTTTGATAACATTAAAAATTAGTGTAAATCTTTAAATACAAAATTAATTAATACTAACACAATGTTAACAACTTTTTTATTCGCAATAATATATATCAAGTTTTGTGTTAACTAATAAAAAATAAAAGTTCTTATTACCATGTTGAATTTACTCATTTAAATTTGAATAATATTTATAAACTTAACTTTTAACTGATTGGTTATTTTAATATTCATTTTATAAATAACGAGTTATTTTTAAATAAATCTGAGTTAAGTAAATAATTAGTAAATATAAGAAAAAGTTACACATAAAATGATAATGAAAATCTTTTACATTTAATTTTCAATTTTCATTACCCAGAAACAAAAATAATACATTTTTGATACCATGGAATTTAGGAATAATAAAAAATAATAACGCATGCTTATGAAAATAAATAAATAAAATTACAGAAACAATAGATGATTATCATGATGATACCTATAAAAGAATATTTGTTTTTAATAGTTACTGTTAAAATATTTAACCATTTGGGTTATGCTCAAATATATTTTCAATTGTTATAATATTTAAAAATATAAAATAGCCAATTGCCAACAATGGCTAACTGGACTTATGAAATATTTTTCAATTGTTGTGTAGTGTAGGTTAATAACTTTAAACTGCCTGTATTAATAGTGTAGTGGTATATTCAATTCAATTAAATATTTTAAACCACCTATTGATTATTCATAAAAAAAATTAACTTCACTTAAGTCAATATGTTAATAGTTAGTTTCTAATTGAAGTTTTAATTCTTAACTTAATTAAGTTAAAAATTCACTTAATACTTTTAGCAATCATTCCTATTAATTTAACTTAACAAAGTTCAAAAATATTAACAATTAATAAATAATAAATATATACCAGTAGAAAAAAAATATAAAATATAAAATAACACAAACATTTAAATCATTACTCTTTTGATTACCAATGAAAATCATACAAGTTAATCATAAAGAAATATAAACTGATTTTTACTTATTTTAAATCTTACAAGGTATGCTATTAAATTTTGATTACAAAATAATTTATTTTATTTTGAATTTAACTCTGTATGATATATTATACAATAGATATATTTTACTGGTTTACTCTATAAGTCAACACATAGGTAACAAAACTAACTAGCCTTGAACTATTATTCTAAGTTATAAAAATATATAGATCATCGAGATCAATCTATAATTACTCATAACTTCTTTAACCGTGTTGACAAATAGTAATCTTAGGTGGTGCAATGTTTTTTTTTTAAGTTTAACAACTAATCTATAAAAGCCTGCTGCAGTCTCACCTTTAAAATTATTTATTACCTACCATCATTAGGTACTTCATTTCAATCGTCAAATTTTAAGTAAAAGTCATCAATAAAAAGTATGGTTCAGTAGATTCTTGAAAAAAACTAATGATATTTTTAAAAGCATACATTTTAATTTACTTGAATGTAGAATTAAGTATGAAGAATGGGAAAATGTGTACAATTAAAAGTATTATTAGTTGTTGTCAAATATTTCATAAACGGATTTGATGAAATAATTGGACAGTGTTCTACTATATCAGCTTGGAGAACATCTGCTGCTTCAGTATTATTTAATATTATTTCATTTAGAAAACATAATGTCTATCCCAGAGATTACTTTAAAAATGAAGAATTTTATATACCTATACAATGAAAATAACATCTATTATCGGGTATTCTCATTATTATTATTATAATCATTGTTACATGATTTATGTGTAATAAGAATATTATTTAGTTTTATTACATTTATAAATATAGAAATTATGTTAAAATAATTTTAAGTATTTAGTCATCAATAATTAAAACATTAGTAGTAGCTATATTTTTTATCAAAAATGTTTGAATTCTTAAACCAAATAAACATATAGCCCACCTCATGTTCTATAGCTCTACCTTTGAAAAAAATATCTATTTGAATCCTTAATATTTAACATAGGAACTTAATGAAAAAAAATGATAATTTTTTCATAATATTAATATTATCATAAGTATAGTAATAATTGCTCTAATACACAGACTGTTCTAAGATAGATTTCATAGTTACCGTTTAAGGTAAAACATATGTGAATATTTTTCAAAAAAAATATTTAAAAAATGTATAACAATTATGTATTATTAAGTATGTGACCTACCGAGCAAAAATTGCGTTAAGTATGTGACATACCTGTATTACCAGGTTTAGTATGTGACCTACGAAGTCGATTATCTATATTATGTACAGACAATGTAAGGTCTATTAACAGACGAGATACATTTTTTAAACTTTTTAAGAGATATACAAAAAGTGCATTGCTGAACATTATTAATTTTTTATAGTAAAATAATTTTATGACTTTTTGACTAATCTTGATATATTCCTATAACAGGTATGCACATTCATACATTTTTATACTGAAAATTGTTTGAACAATTTTGACATTATTAGATATAATCCAATATTATTTAACATTTGTATTACTAAATAATTAATAACTTCATTCAAGGATTGCAATCATCAAGTTTTCTCTACCTGCAAAGTAGATTTTGAACAGCTCTAGACTACCAAAATTAAATAAAGGCATTTGAGTACATGACTGTTAATAAATTTACAATTACAGTTTTGTCATCGGTGGACCACCAGACAATGATTTTAATGGAGAAGCGATGCGTTACACCAGAGGTACCAACAAAGTCTGGGTAAAATAAAACCTTTAAGATATAATTACACCCAATAGATATTGTAACGCAAGATATCATTGCCGACTGTCTTGTACTCTCGTATAATCGAGTCGATAGGTCGTACCGTTCTCAGACAATTTAACGACAGGAGGGCCACTCCCTGATTCGACGACAGAAAAACGTGTTCACGCCCGGACTGTAGTCCGTGGTGAGACCCTCAGACCCGAATCGGTCAACAATGAAATCAGCATTCGGACATTTCGTCGATCTGTTGCCGCCATTATCATTATCGAGATGTGTTGTAAGTGATACTCACCGAGGTTGATGCACAGCACAACGAGGACGCTGTAGACATTCTTCATCACGATAAAAGGCGTTTAATTCTACGGGCGCGGGAAGACGAAATGGACGGAATAAAATACTAGACCCGACGGCGTTAATCGATCGCCGGCCGAATGAGAAAAATAAACGTGATAATCGTATACCGAACTAAAGGAATAAAAAAAACATGGATACCGTCTGACCAACGGGCGCCGACGAATGACCGATGAGTATAGCGAGCGTCGTCTCGGCGGCAGGAAGTGACAACGGTGTTGTTGTTGTTGCAGTGAGTAGACGCGTCTGCGTAACGAACACTGCCCCACCTGTGGAATTCACATGTTCTTGCGCCACCGGCCGCCCGAAGCGCTTCGCCTCCAACAGCGGAATAATTCCTTTGTCTTCGGTTAATAATGACGTATACTTGGAGGTGGAACTGTGGAGGGGTAACAATCGCGCATCTCTCTCGTATAGTCTTTATTGTTGTATTGTCGTCCTTCTGCCGGAATTCGAATTTTGAACTCAGGAGAGGGGCTTGGTTTTTAACACACCACATGCAGACGTTGACGACTATAATGTTATTTGTTATTAGCTTATTGCTTATTATTTTCGTTTAACGGGCCCGTGCGTATTAGTCAACAATTCGACACAATAGTTTTTGATATCTATATTCTATACGGCTATAATACCCGGGTACCAACTTAGTACTGCCAATTACCTCTCTAAGTATCTGTATTTAACCAAGTTTTTTGCTGTAATAGGTGTAACTCAAAAACGAATATACCTTACAGTGCGCGATACATGAAATTTAAATAATATTATGTACGTGTTTGTGTTTATATATTGTTACGCACTTTGAGAAACATTTGACTTTTTAAAATTGTTAAAAAAAAATGTTATGCAAGGTCAAATTCTTTGAAAATTAAATACAAAATTCCTCATATGTTTTTCATTTATCTACCATTTAAAAAATATTGTTAATACATTTTTCTCAATACAATTTATAAGCGTTTAAAGTTTAGTTAGAATTAATACAAAATTCATCAAAATCACGAACATTCTCAATTTATTTTGAAATTAGAACTTAAAAATATATTTACTTTTTATATCAAAGATTTAAAAATTTAAAACAAGATTTTTTCATAGTTTTTTCTACCTTTAACAAAAGAAAAATGTGTACCCGAAAGTCAAATTAATTTTTTATGATCATATTATTTATGTTCAGATTTTGACATTGGATATTTACTAGTAAACCAACGGTTTCTCATGGAACATTTACTTATTTTGTAGTAATTCATTGAAAAACGAATATCCTTACTCCTTAGGTATGTGGAATTCTCACCTAATATTTATTTTAACATTTTCAAAATAATTTAACTTTTCGAAGCTATTGATAAGCACCTTCAATTTTTCCTATAAATATAAAATATCGATAAAACGAAATTGATTTTTTTTAATTATCGCTCATTCCTTATTAACCTTAATAATAGAAATCATATTTTAAACATTTAAAAGAATTATAAGGCACAACATCCAATCAATCTTTAGAGCTGCTTAACTAAAATATAAAGCAATTATAATAGAATATACCTGTATAGGGTTCTGAATAGCATAATATCAAGTAGTTTTTATTTTAACACGATTAATTATTAAACATTCATTGGCGGATATCCATTGAAAATTTTGGGGGGGGCTTCGATTTTTCTTATGAAGCAAAGCCGTGGGGGGCTACGCCACCATTGCCAGTGTTCATAATATGAGGAAATGAAAGAACTGTATAAGTTTTCAAGACTTGAAATAATTGTAGATTATATAAAAGTAACAACTAAAAATTATATGCATAATTTTATAAACAACAGCGCATAGGATTGTGCTCAAAGTAGTCAACATTTAAAATTTTGAGATTAGGTATCTAGAAATTTACTTATTGATTTTAAAATCATTTTTATGTTTTAAATTCTTGCAATTTCGACAAAATTTAATATTCAAACATAAATAACGAATTTTCTTCTGGAAATTTTAACAGAATAATATAATGTTAGTTGTATCAATTATTCAATTTACTATTATATCTGAATATATTGCCTGTACTGGAGACAAAGTCAGGGAGATTTAATTTAATATATTTTTATTATTTTGCATTTCTACTAAGTACAATTACTGAAATACGTAACATTATTTAGACTTATTTTTAAACATTTTATTGGGATGTACCTATGTAATATATCTACGAGGGTATATCATACGTATGAGTATATTATTACATTACCATTTACCATAGTAGTATGTATATTGTACTATACTTATCTACTTAGTACTTAGGTACGAATGACTTAATAGTTTGTTAATTGTTAGTAGGTACATGCATAATTAATTTTTAATCAATACCTACTACCTACTGTAGTAGTATCATTCGCTATCAAATAAACTCAAGAATAAAGGTTACTAAATTTATACTTTGAATTCGAATAAAAATATTACAGGTACATTAACTGCTAATAACCTTAGACCTTAGTAGATAGTTAAAGTTATATCACGGAAAAAAATATAAATACCATTATAAAAACAAATGACTGTGGGTAATAAGTAAATAAGTACTATACTTACTAGTAACTACTGTTAAGTATATTCTTAATATTTTATAACTTATGATTTGTACTATTTATTTCAGAATTTAAATCGAGCTATAAGCAGGTACCTACGTAACTGTAGTATAACTATTGTGTCAGAACCTTATATAGGTAGTTATAATATGTATTTTAGTTTTGTGTGTTTAAATTATTTGGTGTAGAGAGGCGAACATAATATAAACCCATTTAAGTACCAACCTACATAATGGGAAATGTAAGTAATTATTAACTATAATTTATAAGTACTAATTATTGATTAAAATAAACATAATCGAGTCAAAAAAATGATAAAATACTTGTAGCCCATGTAGGAACTATTTAATAGTAATTACTACAGTTATACAGAATCTATTTTTAACTTGTATATTGTATGGGTAGTTACTTAGGTACCGAAATATTTTATTAAGACATCGGGTACTAGATATTTATATATTTGTTGTTGTACCTAAAGTGTTTAATTATTATCTATCTTAATATAGACTGTTATACCGAACTATTATAAAATTGTAGGTATAATACGTAGGCATAGATCATGGCTTTTGTATGTCATAAATTATAATAGTTATAATCATGATACATATTATATTGATATTATAATCCTATGGTTACTACGTAAAAATCTTTACTGAATTAAATATTGGCAATTATTAACGATGAAGATTATAAATTTGAAAATAAATATAATATACAGTGAAACCTCCTTTAACGAACACCTCTAAATAGCGGACACCTCCAAATAGCGGACGTTTTTTCGGGGACTGGGACATTTTCACTGTTTATGTATAAGAAAACTTCTAAATACAGGACACTCTAAATAACGGACACTTTTATGACACTGATATTAATAATTTTTATCTTAAATTAAGAATTATTTTGGATTACCTGAATAAAAACCTCAATTATTAAGTTATTTTATGTATACATTATTAAACTGTATATGAAAATCTTATCTTTTCCGTTCAGTCACTTTATCGTGTCAATGAAATATTGTAACTAATGCATTGTCCTATGTGCGTTTAGTTGTGTTTATGATGCCAATATACGAACGCTTTAGCATTGCAAGCAGTAAAATGCATACGTAAATATATTTCTTCTATCGAGATACAGAATAGTTCATTGTACTTAAACACAGTCCAATTAAAAAATGCCTTAACACACGAAATAATTACGCCTGCAATTAGTAAACAAACTAAAGTAACAGATTTTTTTCAGAAATGTTAGGTAGTTTTTATTTTTGTCGGGTATTTAATTAATGTAAAAATAATATAAAATAAAATTATTGAATTTATTTATTGAAAAAAATGTTTTCCTCTAAATAGCGGACAAAATTTCGGCGACCGAGAGTGTCCGCTATTCAGAGGTTTCACTGTATTATATTATATATTTTTATAACCATAATCTAAAAAGGCACACCTAAATATACGCAAAAGAACTAATATTTTGTTACAAAACAATTTTAAACTCAATTTTTCTATGAAGGTCCACTAAAGGTTGGTAACTTAAAAATATTATTTGAGGGTACTTGAAACTCTTAAAATATAATATCATAAACAAATATGATAATATGCAAATAATATTAATAACCTACCAGCAACAGTAGTATATATTAACATAGTATTATTATTACTATTGCCAGTCATACACTTATACTTGACCAACAGTGCCATCATCAGACGATGTTTTCGGATTTTTAGAATAATATTTTGAATTTTTCCTTGGAAGATGACTAGTGTTAATATTCTCAGTTACTGTATAAATTTTTTTGGCCATTCGGTTAAAATATTAATGATTCATATTACATAGGTACTTATATAAAAATATGCAAGTACCTATCTGAAAAATAAAAATGTACCTACACATTATATAATATATATATGTACCAACGTAATATCTGAACCGAAAAAAATCTCAGTTGAGCAGAGTATATTAGAGAAAAACAATTATTTAAAAAATAAAAATGATATTTTAAACTTTCCCAAAAATGATGGAAGTTTTCAATTTTTTATATACCAAAGGTATATTAATTATTTTATCGAAAATTAAAGTATAATATATTATATTATACTCTATGCGACTATTAGAATATGAGAATAAGAATATTTTTTTTAAAAGGTCAACTTAATTCTAACTCATTAGTCATTACTAGGGCTGGGATTTTAATGCCCTAAAAAATTTCGAAAAATGCACTAAAAAAATGCATTTAAATTATATTTATTATAGGTTAAAAATTAGAAAAACAATTTAAATTATACTACAGTAATGTATTTTTTTTTTTTGTTTATTGTATGTTGTTACTTCTTTAGTTTTTTTATGCTTCTGTTTTCTTAATCATTCATTCTAAAATAATAATTTTAAAAATTGATGATACTATATATAATTTATTATTCGTACCGTCAGCAGTTTACCGAAAGTTTTTTGTGAATCGCAACAATTTTCGTTCATTTTATGAAGAAATTATGAAAAATGCTCTAAAAACCAAGAAAATGCACTAAAAACATAAAAAAAATGTCCTAAAAATGCATTTAAGAATTCATTTTGTCAAAAAATGCAAAAAAATGCAAAATAAAAATACTTTAAAATAATCTGTATCACCCAAAACACATTTTATACTTACGGATCAACGTTTCAAAACATCAGAAAAAAATATGCCTTTGCATCAAAATCCCAGTCCTAGTCATTCACTACTTATT